TTTCCTTGGCCAACCTTACTTAAATTTATTCACATCTTGAATCTCGGTCCTCGACCCACCTCCGAACACACCTCTTGTGTTGGCCAATTAGAATCGATCTTGTGCACATCTGTCAATCTGATTCGATCTGCATGAGCTAGGATGAGTGTTATTCTCTGAGACCATACGCTTGGTTACACAAATTTTAAAACAACTTTGATACGAACTTTAGTACTCGAAAAAATTTACTCAGTTAGAATGTGGTCAGACTGATACTGGATTTGAATACATTGAACAAGTCCATAATGAAGAAATAAAGGACTAAGCAAATCCAAGCTTGCTGGTTTAATTGAGCATTCCATATGGTAGTTTTTACCTCATTCAAAGTTTCGACAGCGTGTGTTATTATGATGATAAAACGATTTTATGCTAATCTGTTGCTTAATACGACTATAGATATCAATGCAATAATTCAATAAAATTAAGAACTTATTTTACTTTTGGTATGATGAATATATGAAGTTCATATATTTTGAACTGCGGTTATAGATACGTATAATGCACGATCCTCGCAGTAGAGAGCGCTATTTATGCAATAGCGAAAATCAGACCTGAAAAAAATCCGGCCTGTACGGGATTCGAACCACTGACCTCTGCGATACTAGTGCAACGCTCTACCAATTGGGCTAAGAAGCCAACCGGGAACAGGCCGTTAAGTTGATTCGTAATAAACCCGTGATGATAAATCAGATATGATGAATATATGAGGCCTGCTCCCAGTTGGCTTCTTAGCTCAATTCGTAGAGCGTTGCAGTAGTATCGCAGAGGTCAGTGGTTCGAATCCCGTACAGACCGGATTTTTTTCAGGTCTGATTTTCGCTATTGCATAAATAGCGCTCTCTACTGCGAGGATCGTGCATCATACTTATATTACTTTTATATGCTGCAGTTGACCTGTTGAGAATATCCACAGACTGAATGATGTAAAATTGATCAAGAAAAATTAAAAATCGGTGAATCTTGATTCAAAACTCATATGCTCCCTTTTGGATCACTGATAGTTGTGACAAGTGGTCTGTTATTCAATAAATTTAACTTTGGGTTGATTCAGTTATATTCAAAATGTTCTAGTTATAATCCATTCCTCAAGGAGAGTTTGGCTGACCTTGATGAAAACTTTCTTACTGGAAACAAATTAATATGTTTATACAGGATGTGGTTGTACTTAAAATGGAACTAAATACACTTAAAGACCTCTATGTAAACCACTATTGTGATGGAGCTTCCTAATAAAAGATGGTTTTTATTACTATTGGAAAGGTCTAAAATATAGAAATAACCAAATAAGCATACTTATGCTTCTTTCTTCTAATTACAGTGTATCTTGGGGTTCAAGAAAAAGCGTTGCCAACTCGGTGAATTGTGAAGCAACACTAGTTTTGAAAAGAGATGTTACTTATTTTGGTGATTGTTGGAACTACTATGAACTTTAATTGATAATTAAGCAATTAAATATACACATAACTTTAAAGGCCATGTTGCTTCTGAATTTTCACATGTTCAGTCAGCAAATAATTATCTCTTTTATAAATCAAAAATCGCCTTAGATGGCACAAAGTTAAAAAATGACAAGAAAGTTTGTTGAAACGGTGATTACACATCTCCTTTTAAAACTCGCCTGTTCAATTTGGTGCACATTTAAGTAAAATTATATTTCTTCTTTGAGGTTGATCATTAAGCCATTTTATGTTGACACGTTCATTATTTATTTTGGTAGAAGGTCACGTTAAAAGTTAGGAGGTCATTCATGATGACGTCCGGTCTAGGAAAGCTCGATCTCTCATTTGGTTTCTATTTGGAGCAGTTACGGTATTCGGGAAATTCATGCTCTCCTAGTTATTAACTCCACAGACACGAGTTAGGCATCAAAGCCAATCGGGTTGACGCGTGTGAAACTTGTGACAGCAAAACTTTCAAAAGTTGTTCCATTATGAGGTATGTACGTGGAAGAGTGAGCATGGTTTGCCGAAACAAAATTTTTAAGCTCTTATTTTATTTTCATTTCAAGATAATGGTCCTAATTAATTTCGTTGATGCTGTCAGAAACTCGCGCCTTTGTCGTGAAGGTTTTTCTCGCCATCTCTGTTCTCTTTTGCGTGTGGCTTCAAATTAATCTAGGTTCCGATGTATCGTCGAAAATTGACTTTAATTTTCTTAAAATTGTTAAACAGTAGCAGCTTGTATTTGGAACGTGCTAAGCTTTTTGAAATGCAGCCCGCGTAGCAGGCGGTTTTCACCGGGCTGATGGAGCCATTTTTTTTTGGTTGATAGCATTGAACTAACGGAAATTACGGAACGCCGAAACGGAATCGGATAAATCCCTCCATGAGCGGGCGGATAACTTGATGAAATCCGCCCACTTAATTTGGGTTAAAAGTCTCTATTGGCTTTCAGGAAACATAATATTCACATGATTTGTGCTAACATTCCCTGTTTGATGTTTAGCGAAGGAGTTCTCCTATTCTAACGTTTACGCGCCACAAACGATGGAATAAATTGATCTAATCAATAATTCTGCTTCTTTGCGCTCTCAGAAATGCATAAACAAATTCGTCTAGCTATCAGCATAACAAATGATTCACCTCGAAATGATGTCACCATGATAAAATGAATAATCCCTCAGTCCTGAGATCAAGCAAAGCTTAGGCTCGAAAGTTAAAATTCGCAGCTCAAAAAAGGACCAGAAGGAACAATGCAGAATGCTTTCATGTAAGATGGATGTACATACCTCAAATGTGTCCACTAGACCTTTCTAAGAAGATAGATCCAATGCAGAGAGAAGACTGAATCCTACACAAGACGTGAAAGCGAAAAACGCTCGTCCAATTTAGCTTAACCAAACTAAATACCCTTGTTATCATCTGCTTTAGAGGACGTTGATGCCAGATGCTAGTGGAGTAAAATCTAGGGACTACTTTACCGTCAAGAGGAACAATTCACACTTCTTTATCCAGAATGTTCTTCGACAGACGATTTCAAGGTCGATTTCAATACCAAGAGCGATATTAACTTCTATACTAAGATTCTCGAGCCGTAACTAAGCTTGGTTCGAACACAGACGCTCAGTTTTTTTTCCATAATGCAGACCATGGTGTCGACAAGAGTGATAGAGAACTGAGTTACAAACCTCAAATTGAATATCGAATGATCTATCGCTTCCGCGTCAAATCACTGAAACACTATTGTGCATGCGCAGATTGCGTGACGTGCAAAACACAAGCCAGATGTAATTATAACTCAAATGATAACATGAGAACTTAGCGGGAACGTAATAACTCTATGCAGATTCTCTTCCGCGTGCAAGAACTGCCATGATTGTCGAATGCTTGACGGCTGCGAGTCATTTGATTGTCAATCGAAGCCCATTTTACATTTGTTATTGCCTCCACAAGTTATGTAGACTTAATGGTGAATCAGTGAAATAGGTGAAATGTCTTGGCATGATTAGCGAATGTTTTATGGCTGCGAGTCATTTCATTGTCAAATCTTTTAATATCAATCAATCAAAGCGCATTTTACAATTGTCTATCGCAGAGAGGAGGCACACATCTTTCATCAGTATCATCAATCTTCCTGCGTGGACGAGAAGAATGATTTTATAGGCGAGCCCAGGAATATATTTTGTCAAAGCGAAATCAGTAATGAGTTTCCTAATTTCTTACATCTCGCGAGGAACTGAAGAGCTAACCTCAAATCCGACGGGACGTCTTGCAACGAGTTAAAAAAAAGTCCTATGATCTCCCCTTTTGAGTCATTATGTTATTTCAAGTCGAGTTTGAAATAGCTTTACAGCCTTTGCAGGATTATTGAGAATATTTCAGAATAAAAATCAGCGATATTAAAACATGACGTTTCGGCGACGACATGTCACCATTATCAAATGCAAATTATAGTAAGTTGAGTAACGTTATATAAGAAGAAAGTGGGAAAGTACATATTGATGAGGTCAAAATCAACAAAAAGAATAAACTTAATTTAAAAAAGTTTCGCTGGTATGGAGTCTTCTTGAGTGTTAAGAGTCGGTCTCTGTTTCTTTATGAAAAGCATCTCATAAATAAGGCAGTCAAACTTTCCGCGACATTTCTTTAGGATGGTAAATTACTCATGAAGATTGTTCGGTGTTATATTTTGTTCGTTCTTGAGATGTTTACCTATGACGGAATATTTGTGCTCCTGAATGCGTAGGTGGAGGTGACGGCTCGTGTAGCCTATATGATTCGAATCACACGAATTACATCATTTGTTTCCGTGACTTTCAAATCTTCAGAGATTTTCGTACTTGTGAAAACTGGTTGTAATACACGATCGATTTTCTTTCCAAGGTCGCTCAGTTGCCTACACTCGGAGTCGGCAGATTTCGTTATTAGATATTGAGAATAATAACGTTTATGTAGAAAAACAGCTCGGATTCACCAGTAGACAGTCAAAGTTACTCGCAACGGGCGATAGATTTCGCTAATGAATTCAAGAAATATGGAGTGAATCCATCATGAAATCTAAATAGAGTACTAGCACGGTGAGCTTTATTCTCAAAATAGGACCTACGAAGCACTCATTTATGCAAAAACCGAGGAGAGGGGGAAGGCTCAAAAACTGTGTTTTGGAAAGTTGAAAATTTCCATCCAATTGTCCGAAATGAGAAAAGATTTTGTAAATTGGAAACAAAAAATATGAAATTTGCTGTGATTTGAAATAGATAAATTTTGTTGAAGACACTTAGGACTGTGCTGTGGGAAAAAATGTTGCGTTATCATTACTGATCCGAAACAAGGTGACGCAAAATTGTAAGATTGCGTGGAAGTAAGGTAATGCTTCTTTTAATCTCCAACGATTTTGCTACCAAAACGCAAAAAAGTTCAAAAGTTTTTTATCCTTCAACGAGAATCTGGTACATGTAATGAGCAGCAGTCTTTGCTTTTAGCTACCCCGTGCAGGAAACGAGACTGCCAGAGGTACAAGTCATGTCTCCATATGCCCAGCTGCTATATGATGTCAGTGTTAATGCAGTGAGCTCAGTGGGTCAGAGGGATCAGCCAACTGAGGATACCATTGGAGAATTGGAGTTCAAAAATTGGAGACTGAGACTGCCAGGTTAAGTTATAGTACGAAATCTTCAATAAAATGATCAGTTGAAAATAAAATTCTTTGTATAGGATTAAGCAAAACTCTACTGTGCGTTCAATGAACCCGGAATTACTCGGGATTGGCTGCTATTGTTTCACATTGCTCTTTAATTGACCTGATTCTGGGTACCGCTCACAATGACTTTTGTTGCATTCTTAGATCTGTAGCACAAGTAGCCACTCGAAGCAAAGGAAATCCTAAAGAAACGTGTATCATCTTAGAATTTACAGAGGTTCGTCAGCTATGTCAAGTTGATTGCAATGGAGAGGCACCATCCATTGTCAGTCCTGCCTTTTACTCCGACAACTATGAACACCTGCTTGGCATACGAATGTACCCCTGTGGACTGGGTGAGGGAAGAAATCGATTCGTCGCTGTTTTTGTTCATATGATGAGCGGAAAATATGGTAATATTCACCCAAGATGGCCTTTCACTCCACGAATCACCATTTTTATCTTAGATCAAGGTGGCAACGAACGCCACATCAGCCAAATCATTCAAGCCAAGCCAAACATGGTAGCGTTTCAAAAGCCAACAGAAGAGATCAGTCGTACAGGATGTGGTTTAGTAAAGTTTGCTCCAATCGAGGAAGTATTTGGTGCTCCTTACGTTAAGGATGATAAACTGTTTCTTAAAGTTGAGTTTTCATTCTGAATATTAACTACCGAAAACTGTTCAATTGATCAGTTCTTTTTAATATAGCTTTGATAAGATAATCGGGAGTAAACATTTTACGTCAGTATGGACTTGTTGCTGGGCAAAAGGAATATTTTTTGGACTGATTATTATCTAGCATCGCAGTTTTCAATAAGCAAGGTATAATTCAAAGGTGGGAGTCACCTTTGCGAGCAGGTCCCGTTCAGGAGATTGGGAGGAAAAGGGTAAGCCTGTTCGCAGCCCTCGTCTGTTTAAAAATTTGAAACTTGTAATACCTGTACATATATCTATTATCTGTATGAGACGATGTGTGGCTCACGTACATTTAAGTATATTCAGTTGTGAACCAACAGTGACATCGGAATGACGTGAAACGTAGACGTGCGTGTAAACCCAATAGACGTAAAGAAGATCGATAAAATATTAAAAGAGCTAAGTAAAAGTTTTCAATCGCCCGCTGAAGTATGAATGCAACAATATTTAATAACGTAATTCTGTAAGACACGGTGTTTTTCTAAAACTAAGCTTTTCCAAGAGGCATCACCAAGAAGCTTCATAGAGGCTATAGAAATTTCTCAAAATATTATTTTCCACTCCGTATTTTTTTTCTTACTTTCTTATAGCTATTGCCATGTAACTTAATCGTTGTCCCCATCATTGTTAAACAAATGTCTTAAGTATAATAACATTTGGATTTATTGAAAGCGAGATATTTGTAACAACTTTTTTCAGCTTTGAAGTCGATACGACATACGCCTTATCAGGCAAAAAAAAAACAAATTCGATTTGTACGAACTCTGGGTAAGTAATTAAAAATTCAGAGCGTTTTAGATAAACAAATTGCAGTTGTTGTTGACGTCACAAGACAGATCGAGATTAATTTGTGACAAAATATTAACATTTCATTACAAACCTGGCCTAAAAGGGGAATCCCCTCATCGTCAGTCAAATGTTTTTTCTATTCAAATGGTTCTAGACGATACACGGCACCCTCGATACGTATCGAGTGTCAAATCCGTATCTTCTCTTTTCCACAAGAAAATATGATCGATCGCGTAGTTTGCTGCGTCAAAACTCCAAGATAATCTAATACGCCGACTGTAGAAATAATGAAATAATGAAATAATGAAACTGTAGTGACGATTCGCCTTCATTCCAGACCTTTACTCATTTAATTAAAGTGGAAGGGATCAAGAAATATGTGTCAGAAATGGTTTGTTTGACAGACTGCTCGCCTGCTCGTTGATAGTTGAAAAGGCCACACATTGCCACAAAAATATTTAGAATGGAAATGATTTGATTGCATAGTTAGGAAAGGAAACTGTGATGTCGCGCAGTGCAATTGAAGATGGAAAGTCTTTCTACTCTTAATGCTACACAATGAGCGATGTTGTTTGCGTCATTTTTGTTGATTTTTTCATTTTTTAGATCATATTTTGAATAACCAAAAATCGACACGGCTCTTCTATGGATCATTTTCTGTTGATGTCTACTGAGTACTAACAAGCTCTCATTATGTGTTCACAAACTTCGGTAATTTTTAGATCATAATTTGAATGACCTGTCACAATATTAGTTCGCAAACATGCGGAAACCTAGAGACCCCGAACACATTTATTGTTTAAACCAATTGAAAACAGATCCAGTCCAATGTTTTCAATCTAAGGCGCGTGTCAAATAGGAGATGAGTGGGTCGAGACAGTTACGCCTAGTTCAGTCATTTCAAAACATTTTTAATTAGCTTTCTTATCTTGCACACCCAGGTTGGAAAATTTTTTAAAAGAGATAAGCTGTTTCGAGTTCTAAAACAAGTTCAGGGCACGTTATAAGTACCTCACTATAATTTAACGGACAATTGTTGAGTTGAGAGAGCCGAGAGATTACCGAAGATTGTGAACACATAATGAGAGCTTGTTAGTACTCAGTAGACCTCAACAGAAAATGATCCATAGAAGAGCCGTGTCGATTTCTTTGGTAATTTATGTCAAGTTCAAAGTCATTAGCTCAGTCTTTTGGAGCGAACTCTATTCATTTGGAAAAGATTTTTAATAGTGATTAGCCTTTCCCTTTGTCCTGCCTTGTATGAGGAAGACATTAATTTGAAGGGAAGAAAAAAGTGATCCTTTTTTGTTTGTTTATTTGTTTTTTTTTTTGTGGCGTTACATTTAACTCTTCCCTATAATCCTGAAACCCTTACACTGAACCGGAACAAAAATTATTAAGTGCTCGGTGCAAATCAAGTTAGCTTAATATTTCTCTGTTGCCTTTTAAAAGTATTTAATTGGTCGAGTCATGTCAAGGTATCGAGTTTTTTCAGGTCTGATTTCGCTATTGCATAAATTGCGCTCTCTACTGGAGTTTGACTAATGGTCGTGGGTCGTGGGTCGTAGGTACAAGTCGTGGGTCGTGGGTGTGGGTGTGGGTGTGGGTGTGGGTAAGTTCAAAATATATGAACTTCATATAGTCATCGTATCTGATATATCATCACGGGTTTATTACGAGTCAACTTAACGGCCTGCTCCCAGTTGGCTTGTTAGCTCAATTGGTAGAGCGCTGCACTAGTATCGTAGAGGTCAGGGGCTCGAATCCCGTACAGGCCTGATTTTTTTCAGGTCTGATTTTCGCTATTGCATAAATAGCGCTCTCTACTGCGAGGATCGTGCACCATACGTTCAAAACCTATCTAAGCTCTGCTGCCAATTTGTTTTTTTGGGCGAGAGTATTTCGGAGAAATTCCGAATATGGTTGAGCTTGTTTTTCCTGCTCTTCAAAATGGCTGACAGGCAACATAGTATTACGAGCATTGCCTTCTTGATCGTAAGACCCAGAATACTTTATCGGCAAATTTTATGAACTAGGAGTGTACCTCTACCATTGGTATGAATTTCATTTAAATTGGTTCACGTACGCCCGAGAACCAGACTCATTTATTTTAACTTGGGAGTGCATTTTATGGTCAAAACGTAGATCTCAGGCCGACTTCAAGTGTAGTTACCATGGCAACGACACACCTGCCGATCCAAATATGGCTGTTTTTGTTCATTCCCCTTGTTCGGGAGAAAATTCCCGTGCGACTTTGTGTTCAAGGAAACTAATTGGCAAAATACCAGCGGATAGTTACGCAACACCACTCGCAAGGTGTGACAGTTCGGCATATATAAGATTCAGCATATTTAAGACTCAAGCTGTTATTTTTTGAAAAGATTTCGAAGGTTACGTTTCCTTTTAATGAAAGTTAACATGTTCTGCGAAACACCCCTGGTAACCTACCTCCACACAAAAAATGAAGGGGGGTTAAAAAATTTCATCTCCAACTTTGCTTCACTTTCTCGGAAAATTGTTCTTAAAACCTCGCGAAGCAGGAAGGTAAAGAACTCTAATCCGCTAAAAGTGATTAAAAACACCAACCAAACAGGTACGATGACCACGAACTGTTTACCGACAAACTGATCGATCGAAAAATGATTTGCTGTTATCGCCACATCAAATAGATTTCGAATTCCGTTAGTCAAGAGAAAAAGAGTGAAGACTACCAACCCCCCCCCCCCAGAGTTGAATGCTCTCTGCTCATTTTAAAAATGCGATTATTCTTCAACTTTGTGATATTGTCAGGAGAAATTGTTAACTTCTCTTGATTGCGGTGTATTGATGACGGTACTGTTATTCTTTTTGCCAAATGATGTGCTCCAAAAATTTAGCCTGTATATGTCCAAAAATTTAGCTCGTTACCCGTTGAAAGCTTACGGGTTGACGCAAGCCAGTCCAGAAAAAGTCGTCAGGCCCTGCTGCCATCACGTCGCTTTATTGCAAAAAAAATTAAGGAAAAAATAACTTCGAGCCAAATATTTGCCCGCCCGGCCCTCCCACTCTGTCAATAAGTACGTATTACTACAAGCAAAGGTCTGAGATTAAGCAAAAATAATCTAAGAACAGTTTTGTGTGTCTTTCCAACATTAAAAAAACAAGCAAAAAATAACTCAAGGTAAGCATTAGAAAATGAATTATGTCAACATCAGCTCGAAATTGGAACATTTGAGCTCCGTTGAGAATTGAAATGGGGATTTTGCAAGCCACAAGCCGATTAAAAACCTCTGCTGCTCAATAGCAGGAAAAAGTTCTTACTCTGGAGTTGAGACTGGAAGGTTGTAAAATTTAAAAATAACTTTTCAAATCGAAGAATCTTGATTTAATACTCATATGACCCCTTTTGGGTCACTGGCAACTGGTCTGTAATTAAATCGATTTAGCTTTGCGTCCATTCAGTTGAGGTTTCAAAAATTTTTGAGATGATCGTGTTGAAATCCATTCCAAATGCACAATTTACTTGGCCAAGGCGCTCGGAATTATATACAAGCTAAATCTCTATCTTCGACACATGTCCGAATATACCTCTTGTGTAAGACAGGAATAGATCTTCAGTCTACGATCCGTGAGGTGGGTGTTAATGGGGACCTTACGCAAACCACGACGGCGACGGCAGCAACAACGTGGAAAAAAAGATCTAATTAGCAGAACAATTGCTCAGAACGTGCATTTTAAAACTTGGTATATTTCTTAGCCGTCCTTTGCAAAGCAACGACGTGAAATTACCAGAATTTGCGTCGTCTGCGAACCGAAACAGCGACGGAAAATTATTTAAATTTCTATTTGGAACTCAACGCTACTTTTTTACGTAATGTTGAGGTTGAGATGTGGCGCCGTATGAGATGGTAAACACGTGCATCCGTTTTCGAAATTCTAATTAAAAGTTCAAATTCATTTTTAAATCGTCATCCCTACTGCTTAAGGTCCCTATTTTCTGAGAGTGTTAATTAAACAACTTTGATAGGAACTATGAACGGTTTTTAATAGAATGGGTTTGCGCTTACAGAACTGAATTTATCGAACGGGTCTTTGACACGGAGTTCCTCAGGGCGCGATACTTTCTCCACTTTTTTTCTGCATCTTCTTGAACGATCTGCCATACGCGCCTCAATCTTGCCATCTTGAGTCTTATGTCGATGATTCTAAAGTCCTATTATCTTTCAATGCAACTGACTCTAACAATGCCAAGATTAAGCTCGAGGAGGACTTACAAAGAGTCGCTATTTGGCGTTGCGAAAACCAGTCGCTAATAAACCCCGATAAAACGAAATTTATGCTGATTGGCACGAGGCAGCTGATAAATAGGCACGAGGCAGCTGATAAATTGGCACGAGGCATGAGGCACGAGGCAGCTGATAAATTGGCACGAGGCATGAGGCACGAGGCAGCTGATAAATTGGCACGAGGCAGCTGATTTCTCGGTGTCATTCCTGGGGAAGTCCCTTACCCCTGTTGACTCAGCGAGAGACTTGGGTGTGATTATTGACTCACACCTGACCTATGATAGTCACACTTCTTACCTAGTCTCTTCTTGTTTATCAAAACTAGTCCAGATCAAGAGAGTTAAAATCAAATGACTAAAGGCTGATAGTTTCGAAAGAGTAAAAAACAGATTCGACAAGGAAACACTAATGCTTGTTATTTCATCACTGGTATCGGAGAAATGTTTTATTGTTCAACAGTGTGGTCAACAAATACATCCTCCACTAATATAAAGAAACTGCAACTGATCCAAAACTTCGCTTGTAAGATCTTCACCGGTTCCAGGAAGCACGATCATGTTACTCCTCTATTGCACCAACTTAACTGGTTGTTAGTGAGCCAGACACTACAACTTAGAGATACAGTTATGGCCGATAACTGAACCAATAATTTAGCACCCGACTACTTGTGTAACAAGTTACAAAAACGCACCACCATACATGATCGAGCTACGCGGCATAGCAACAAACTTCAGATCCATTTTAAAAAGGTCCGCGAACGGTCAACGAACCTTTGCCTATAGAGCAGTTTCACTATTAAATTCCCTGAGTGGTGAACTAGTGAACTTGCCGTCAGTGAAGTCACTGAAACATTCTTTGAAGGACTCCCTAAGAGGGGCACCTAAATAGTCCTCGTATGATAACCATTGGACATATATATATATATTTTTAATTTTTATTACCCTATTTTAAGTTGTTCATTTGTGATTGTAAATTGTCTACCATTGTAAATAGTTGCTGAAAAGCCTGTACAGGAGTAATTATTAAAGTTCATTCATTCATTCCTGTTAAAATAAGCGACAGAACATGCCTAGGCTTGCTTGGTTTAATTGCACTCATAGTTTGTCCGATTAGATTCCAATTTACTTCCACAGGGACTCACCCACGCAATGTTTTTAACTGATTTCAGAGGTCATTGTAAATACTATGATTTTACAGACAACTGTATTCTTATCTAATCTTTCGGTGTGATACAGAGCTGCACACTTCATGTTACTACTTTTATTTGATATTTTCCTCATAAAAATCAACCTTAATGATAAACCAAGGACATGGCTCAAACTTTTTAAAAGAACTATAACCGGTTAATAGATGTCTTTTCAATAGTAATTAATACCTTTTCTTTTTCCTTATTCATTTTATTCATGTTATTCATGTTAATTGTATTATTATTAACCATTTCAAATGCACAGAAATATAGCATCTAGGGCCTGATATCAAAGCGGTCGGCGCTTCAACGTGATCAAATATGCATTCGAAGCATCTTTTAAGTGGCTTTCAGTTGGTTGCTTTGGCTAGCACATTTGATTACGTTGAGTCTCGTGACCTAAAATATCAAAATATGAGAAAAAAAAAAAAACAAAAAAAGGCAGTAGCTCATAAAGATTCGGTAGTGTCTGTCATTGAACAATGGCTGTACCTGTAATTAAAGATCAATAAGGAAAATCAACTACCGGTAACCATCAACGTATTTCAAGCGTGGTCGTTATTTTGACACGTGATATGCGATACCTCTGCTACGATTGGATAGTCAGTGACAAGTTGCCCAGGCGTGTATATGAATTTCTTTTGACTGCTGTCCTAGGCACTTCCCTTCCCGTCGACGTCCATATGCATTGATGCATCGACGTGTGAACGGTACAAAGTCCATTCGAGGTTCCTACGTAAAGAAGCCGCGACGTTATTTACGCTATCAGAGGATCGTGGTTACATAGCTCGAGTCTGTGGTTCACAGCCTGCATTTTTCCCTGGGAAAACAAGTCCGTGGAACATTTCACAGGATTAAGAGAGCCTGTAGAATGAGGTAAAAATGAAATTTTTGCTTGCAGAATGCAGTCAGCACTTCTTAACATTTGTCTTTCAGTTTTACAAGAGATTTGTACGTCCACTTAGATATTTTCGCTTAAATGCCGGTATATGTGTTTTACCAAACGACGTTAAGAAGTTGGCTCGTAGACTTCCCAGTTTTTAAACAAAACAGCAAATTTGCCTCGAATTAATAAGAATTTCACGTACATAAATTGCTCTACAGTTTAAATTAGATACCGCAACAAAGCATGCGAATAAATTATCGGACTCTACCCCCTCCCCGCCCCCCGCAAACATATCAGGATATACTATTGAGATTACACGCAATTCGCTGACAGTCTATCAGGGGGAGATGGAAAAAATCCGCAAACGTCCCTTCTTTGTTTTCTTCTTAAGACAGAAACCACCTTTATATAGCACAACGAATATCACCGTTACGGATCTTTTTAATTCAACAATACTTCACCCATTCAATAACATATGTTAACAAGACAATCGTATCTTCTCTCTAGGATCACGTTGTTTCTAATATAATCCATTTCAATGACTTGCCATCAAAAAGACTTCGACATCTAATTGGCAGTTAATACATACAAACACAAAGAATACACTTCGTTTACCAAATACAACTTTGGAGGGTCGGATTACTCGCGTAGTCTTTCTAAAATGAATCGAGCGACAAACCAGCTGGGATAACAAAGTCGCCAAATCCACGGCAGTGATCCTTCAAATTTTTTTCAAGTATCTAGGTACATAGAGCTACCTGAGACCAAACCATTTTACTTCTCCAATCACAAGCTGTTTCGTGATAAGAATTTTGCAGTGTTTGAATTTACCATTATATAAAATGACCAAAGCAAGCAGCTTTAATTTTGAAAATTGCTTGAAAAATTCATCGTTCTTATTATAAATATTTATCAGCACCTTCAAACACGGCTCCATCTGAAAAACGTTTCCCGTTGGTCCGAAGAGAGACAATGAGCTGAACGTCTTCAAAATTCAGTTTCATGATTTTGCTCTGTGAAGATTTTGCGGTGCACGGATGAGCTTTGATTTTTCTTTTCAACCTCTGACTACCATGCTATTGTAAAGTATGAATTCGCCCTTACCTGGAGAATAAAGTGTGAAGCCATGTTAAAGAGTTCAGTCACGGTGGATCTCAGGGATCGATTCCTCCACAGCGAGAGTATCATGAGACGAAAAATTTACTATGGCGAAGAGTACATCATGTTTACATTTATTGAAAGGTCTACCGTGAAAGGAACCTCTTTATACTGTTTTCAGCACCATGCATCAGTAAATTCGAACAAACATTATGATCTTTTAAAAGGTCAAGACCTAGTACAAGCCATTTAAGACATTACGATTGATGCTTTTACAAACAGATCATGTCGACACACCCCCAAGCACACCTCTTCTGTTAGCCAATTAAGAACAGGCACGGTACACAGCTGTCAATCTGATACGACTCGCATGAGCTAGGGTATAAGTCTTATTCTCTGAGACCGTGCGCTAGGTTGCACACATTTCAAAACAACTTGCACGAGAGCTAGCTTGCACGAAATTGTTTTCTATCATTATAGGTTGTGGTCAGTCCAGTAATGGAACTTAGTAAATTGAATTTGTCTACAACATCGAAATAATCGATCGAACACGCACCTAGTCTTGCTTATGTTCGTTTTCCATTCGAAAAATACGTTTTCATTTAACGTCCACGGTGAATCACAATATTTCCCAGCGAAACGTTGAAATTCAGATATTTGAATCGACGTCTCCCGAGGTTCAAAAAACAGCGTAACCAATTTAGAAAACATTTTTGGCAAAACGTGCCATGTCACAACTATATTATAAACTTGCAAATAAATATAATTAAACTCTTTAATATTTAAGTGTTGTACAGAGCCGTAAGCTTTGTTTTAACTAAACGAATTATTTCATTACTTTTACCTGCAATTTTCCCCCTTTAAATGTACCCAGCATAAACTGCTTCTATTCTTCATTCTTCGTTTAAAATCGCGCCGGGAGGGCTTCGGGCCATCGAGTATAATAAGTATTTACGAGACGATGTATTCACTGTTTTACCAATACGGAACATCTATTCAGGATCAATTTGGCCTTATTGCATTTTTTCCCGTTCTCCGCAATGAGATCACTAGCCAAGAACAGTTTGAGCTTCATCATGAAAGACTGACTTTACCTCTAATAATGTCTTACTGAGTGAAAACTTCAGCCTCTTGGACTATGAACTCAGAACTCGGAGTCGTTGCATCTGACCAATCAACCTTAGATCGAGACATGTGATGGAAGTATGAAACAATTGTTTTCTATGTAAATCTAGATGAAACCTATTAGGAGGTAGGTAAAGGGGTGGGGAGGGGGAGTGTCCTGTTACTTAATAAGGGAAAACTGAACATAATATATCATTGGTTTCCTTATCCTGTTCACTTACAAGGATAATTTGCGATGGTAGGGCTTGAAGACACTTCACAATGAGGTAGATATCGATATATCTCACCTGAATTTAAGGTTTTCCACTTCTTTTTGTCTTGCCAAAGATAAAACATTCATTGGTCTACATAATAGGAATAGCAATTTAATATTGATTTAGCCCTACTGGTTTTTTTCGTTCTTTATAATAGCATTAGTAAATGCGAATTCTTTGAGCTTCCATCAAAAAGTACTCGAACAGATCACCTGAAATAGTCCTCTGAAATGTTAGATCTAATAAAATTCCCGCTCTTAGCGCGAATCGCTAAACCGTTTATATTGTGGATTCACTATTGTAGTACTGCATCGAAGCTCTTTGCCAACTCGGGCTGCTTAGTTTTTTCTGTATATAGATTAGACTGAGAAAGAGATTGGGAAACTTAATCCCAGATTTGCTCGTTCAGTGAAAGAATACATCGATAAAACAGTAAAAAGATGATTTACACCGACTAAAAAATTCTGTTCAATAACTACCGTCTGTCTAGCTGTATCTTTTCTTTAGCAAAACTTGCGCGACAACATCTGTCGAGGATAAGATCTACAACATCGTGGACTATGAACTCAGCTGAGAACTCAGAGTTCTTGCCGATGTGGAACACCGATTTAAAATCAATTTGGCCCTACTGTATTTTTTCCGCTCTTTGCAATGGGATTACTAGTTGCGAAAAGTTTGAGCTTCATCATGAAAAACTGACTTTTACTCTATTAATGTCTGTTGACGAAATTCTCAACCTCGTGGACTATGAACTCAGAACTCGGAGCTGTTGCATCTGACCAATCTACACTAGACCAGAACATGTGATGAAAGTATGAACCAATTGTCCAGTACTTCCATTGAGAATGTGCGTGGCGTAAGCAGTACGTTGTGTAGTCCAGTCCAGTAAATAACATGGCGCGAGTGAGAATATGGAAACTGAAATGACATACACGAATTTATTAAGATATGTGAATATAGAGAACCGATTGCTTGGTTACTACAAACATTGAGTACAGGCAAGTGGTTCAGTTTTTCCCAGTGTAAAGGTTCCAAGTGTTGATTTGTTGTATATCTTTTGAACACACTGAACACATATTTAGTATATATTCAGTGGTTACCAAATAGGAACTATAATTTAAGATTAATTTGTTACTATTTTGTTTTTGTTCTTTGACAATTGGATTACTAGATGTAAACATTTTGAGTTTGCATCGATAATCTCTCGAACAGACCGTTCATGATCTAAATCAAATTTTCTGAAATTGTACAGGTATTAAAATTCCCGGGCGCAATTTACTTTAATAATGCTACATCGAAGCTCTATGCCAACTCGGACTGCTTTGTTTGTCCTTTATACTAAGACTGAGAGAAATAGATTGAGAAAGTTAATTCTAGACTTGCTCGTCGAAAAATGAGATCGAGAAGAAAAATTACAGTGATTAACTGAAAAGTGGTGATCCCTAAATGAAGTCAAAACAAAAGTTCAGCAGTCAGCTTTTCATAGCTCTCTAAATTTTTTAATGCAAATTAGTCTTCTGCTTTCTCTTCAATAATCTCCGGAGCTGCGTGACAATAATTCACTTAATTTGTGCTCTATCAAGCAGCTTGATGACCAGCAAATGATTAGCTTTAAAAATTATTGAGTCTTTCACTTTTCGCGTTGAAAAAAAACCGTACATAGCAAAGAGCAAATCATGTTTATATTTGCTGAAATAGAAATGAGCCCGTAAGAATAATAGCACCGATTACAAATTCGAACAAATGTATAATACGATCTTTCAAGAGGTCGAGACCAAACGTAAACCTATTCAAGAAACCATCAGTTGGTGTCTTTACAGACTTAGGAGATGTAATAGAAAGCAAAAGCTACAATCGGTCGCACTACACTTCTAATTACAGTACCAACAACGTAACTCTTGTAATTGCAGCCGGAAACTTAAAGGCCAGCAGGCCACAGTGCTTATCAGTTATTTTCATGAGCATGTTAGAAATGTTGAGCGAAGGAGTTATTCTACCTCAACGCTTATGATGTTGTCAAATTTCCACACTGGCAGACGATCGAATAAATTTAACTAATCAATGATTCTGCTTCTTTGTGCTCTCAGAAATGCCCTAGAAAGTCGTCTAGCCAGAACCATAACGAATGATTCACCACGAAATAATCTCATTGTAATAAGGTGAAAGATCCGTCATAGTCCTGTGATCAAACCTATGCTCAAAAATTAATTTTTGCTGTTCAAAAAGGGACCAGAAGGAACAATGCAGAATGTTTCATGCAAGATGGATATAGATACCTTAAATGTGTCCACCTGGTCTTTCAAAGAAGATAGATTCCCTGCAAAGGGAAGACTGAATCCCACACGAGAGGTGAAAACGAAGAATCCTTGTCCAATTTAGCTTAACCAAACTAAACTCCCTTGTTATCACTTGCTTTAGCGTACGTTGATGCTGGATGCTAACGGAGTAACATCGCTTAAGGACTAATTTACCGTCAAGAGAAACAATTCACACGTCTCCATCCAGAATGTTCTTCCACAAACCAAGGTCGATTTCAATATCACGAGCGGGCATTTACCTTTATAAATAGATTCTCAAGCCCTAACTGAGCTTGGCTTGATCACGGACGCTTAGTTTTTTTTCCATAATATAGACCATAATGTCGAGAAGAGTGATAGAGACCTGAGATACAAAACGTCAACGTCACATGACGCTTGTAGATGGAATATTTATCTAATCATGGATCTATCTGTTTCGCGTCCATTCACTGAAACACTATTGTGCGTGGGTAGATTGCGTGACTAGCAAAACTTACACAAGCCAGACGTAAACCCAGCGGGGAAAGTAAAGACCTTATGCAGATTCTCTTGCGCATTTAAGAACTGCCATGATCGGCGAATGTTAGACGGCTGCGTGCCATTTCATTGTCCAGTCTTTTAATGTCAACCAATCGCAGCGCGTTTTATGATTGTTTATCATAGAGGGGAGACACGCGTCTTTTATTAGTTCCTTCAATCTTCCCTTGTGAGGAAAGAATTTTTAAAAGAGCCCAGGATTATGTTTTGTCGAAACTGTATCTGGAATGAGTTTCCCAATTTCTTGCAGCTCAGAAGGAACTGACGAGTTAAGCTCATTTCAGACGGGACGTCTCGAGGCGAGGTAAAAAAAAAAAAAGCTGCATGGTCTTGTCATTTGAGCCATTGTGGTATTTCAGGCAATTTTGAAATGGATTTACAGCCTTTACATGAAAATTAGGAATAATAACGTTTATGCGCAAAAAATAATTGGATTCGCTGGCAGTAAGTTATTGCTACTCGTGGTGGGTCATGGATTTCACTAATGAATACAAGACATATGAAGTGAATAAAAAATCATCAAATACTGTACCAGCACAGCAAGCTTTCCTAAGGAACCTAACATGAAGACCCTTACGTATGCTAATGTGTTGTAAAAGGAATGAAGTAAAAAAGCGTGAATGGTTTGCCGGGAGGCAGACGTCTTTATCTCCATGGAAGTAAATGGTTTGTTTCAAACGAAAGTCACCAAGGAGGTGTTCCCTTTTGTTCGGCGTTATCGCTCAATCTCTTGGAGGCCGTGCAAACCGGGAAAATGGTAAATTCCGTCCAAAATAAAACTTGTCAATCTGCCTGAAAGGTAAAGAACATTTTGGACGAGTTTTTGCTCCTTTTTTCATGATTCCACCTATATTACCTGACTAAAATTCCAAAGTGTAATTCTTTGCCATCCCTATCGTTAATATCACAAGGCGAGAGAAGAAATATTTTAATCTAAAATCTTTAACCTATAAATGTAAGCTTGACCCTGTCATTCAAAGAAACATTGATTTAGTCTCACGCAAGTCTGGGGCAGAGGATATATCTAAATCTGTAATTACATTAAGTAGACTAGATAATACGCCTACGTACACAAATATAATTTGTATGGGGTTGTGCGCGGAGGTGTGCAAAAACATTTAACCCATCAGTGCCCATATCGAATAAGAAATCAGGTCACCGCTGCTCCAACCCCTTGTTCCTACAGACTAAACGAGAAAAACACATCTTTAGACGAACCTAGTAGTATCATCTGTCAAAATCGGAACGACATGAGTTTCTCCATTTCTTGCAGCTCAAGAAATAACGACTTTACTGCTGAAGAGATGGAGGATCTTGCAATAAGGTAAAGAGAAGTTGGGCGCTGGTTGAATCAGATAATTGTTGTGTCCTCGCATTTGATCGCACTCTGTAACCCAAAAGGTATTCCTTCCATGTACTAGCCTTGGTAGAATGAATAATGAAAAAATAAGATTGATAGAAAATTACCAGAGTATGCTGCACTCTGATTTTAAAAACTTCTGACGTGAGTAAAGTTGATTCAAATGAATTAGAGATGTTTAGTCTTCATTTTGCGTTTGGAATCTATTAAACTCCGGCGCGTAGGTAAATTGCTGTGTCCTTTAAAAACTATTTTTATTTTCCAACTGTAAAATGTTTCTGTCTAAATACATGTACTTCAGTTCAGTAACTTTTCTGTCTTTATCCCAGCTGTCATGTGTTTTCATTTTGAGTCGTACTGAGTTTTAAGAACTGACTGGATTTGTTTGAATTGTGATAGTCAACGAGAAGGCTCTTGTTATTGGTGGTGCGGAAAGATGGTTTCTTCCCCCAAGAGTAAGGTTAATTGGGAACTGGCAAGAGACGCGCAAGGGAGCCAGTACTAATTATCAATGGGCTACCTGCAGACCTCTCCCTGGCTAGTGTTGCTCACGGCCTAAAACTTTTTCGTGGGTAAAGAAAAGCTCGCTAAATATGAGGGCCTATACACCGAATCGAAATATGACGTCCAATTGAGTTACTATTGTTGAGGACTTATTAGCCTCGTCATCATTACTAGCCTCTAATGTGCGAGAGGCTAGTAAGTCCAGAACAATGGCAATTCAAATTGCACGCCATACTTTGATTCGGTATATTCGCAAGCAAGGTTGACCTCTTAATGAATTGTACACTAGCACATTTGACACTTGCCTGTGTATTCTCATCAAACAGATGCTTCTTCTGCTGTGATTACGAGGCAAAAATAGTTTTTCATGTTACTGACACGTTCTTAGGGTCTTGTTATGTTCTCTGAGAGTCTGTCGAGCATTGACTAAAACTATTCATAAAAATGATTATAACAGATTCGTGAAGTAAAAAAGGATTGATAAAAGATACAGGGCAAGAAATTTAATTGCGATACACATTTTAAATCAATTTATATCGTTTTGTTTATGTTTTCAAAAAGGAATGGTGCAAGATTTTCCGCCTGCGATAATGAATTATCGGATTCTGAGGTGAGTACCTTTAGCAGCTTTTATGATGGTTTCTAAGA